CTGAGTTTCCTAATTAAATCAAAGATCGCACCAATGAGAACGGTAGCTTATGAAATTGTATATTATGAACAATAATTATAATGTACATGTAAGGAGAATATATATATAAGAGGAATCACAGGGAGATTAGAATAGGGAGTCATACTATGACTCAAATACAAGAATCCTAATACTAGTTCTAATATTACCCCTCAAGCACATGGTATACTTGTAACTTGTATCTTGTCTCTGAGAAAAGAAAATCTAGGACCATGCAATGCTTTGGTAAATATGTCTGATCTGCAAGTTGATCTTTTGTTGAGATGAAGTTTGAATTTCACCAGCAGCAACTCTATCGCGCACAAAGTGATAATCTATTTGTACATGTTTGGTGTGAGCATGAAAGATGGGATTGGCACACATATATGTAGCTCCGAGATTATCACAACATAATTTAGGGACTGAAATACCTGGAACATGAATTTCGCGTAGAAGGGACATGATCCAAATTACCTCAGCATAAACATCTGCTAGAGCTTTATATTCAGCCTCAGTAGAAGATCTAGCAATAGTTCTTTGCTTCTTGCAGACCCATGATATGAGATTAGACCCAAGAAAAACAGCAAAGCCACTTGTGGATTTTCTATCCTCCGGACAGCCAGCCCAGTCAGAATTAGAGAAAGCATGAATTTCTCTTGAGGATGACTGTCTGACACGTAGACCAAAATTAACAGTTCCTTTCACATACCTTAAAACTCTCTTCAGTTGTTCCCAGTGAGCAATTATAGGGGCATGCATATGTTGACAGAATTGATTGACTGCAAAGGAGAGGTTAGGGCGAGTGATAGTTAGATACTGTAATGCACCAGCTAAACTCATGTACTGTGTTGGATCATCATGCAACACTGTACTGGAAGTCACGAGTTTTGATGTGGGAATGGGGGTAGACAATGGTTTGCATTCTGCAATTCTATCACGTTTTAGAATATCATGCATGTATCTCTGTTGGGAAAGCAAAATTCCATCACTGCATTTGACTACCTCAATTCTAAAAAAAATCCTAGCTCACCAAGATCTCTAATTTTAAAAGCAGTAGAGAGTTTTGAAACTAGGTGTGTAACTAGATTCGTATTGCTGCCCATCATAAGTATATCATCTACATAAACCAATAGATATACACAATCAGATCCCTAAGAATAGTAAAATAAGGACACATCCGTTTTTTATGCTTGAAAACCAATAGATAGTAAAAAGGTGTGCAAACGGTTAAACCAGGCTCTAGGTACCTGTTTTAATCCATAAAGTGACATTTTTAATAAGCAAACATGATCCGGATAGTAAGGATCAATATACCTATGTGGTTGCTTCATATACACAATTTCAGAGAGATTTCCATTCAAGAAAACATATGAACATCAAATTGCTTAATAGACCACCCAGCTGATGATAAAGCCAGAGAAAGAAGCAAACCTGACTGTGGTTGGTTTAACCACTGGACTGAACGTGTAAAAGAAGTCCTGACAGGTCTTGTCTTATGTCTCTCAATGGAGCCATAAGCTTTTCGTTTTGTACGAAAAACCCACTTACACCCAATAATATTCATATCTGGATGAGATGGCACCAGCTTCCATGTCTGATTTTGTAGGAGGGCATTAAATTCTTGATCCATAGCCTCACGCCATTCTGAATATTTAACGGCTTCAGTATAACAAGTAGGATCTGACGGACAAACATGAACCGTTAAAGCTGATGGTGGAGCCTAAGACCGGCTCCGAGTGCGCATCTCATGAGTCCGAACTGTGGACTTAACCATCTTCCCGCGAGGGCATTTCACAGGCTGGTCCGCCTGGTCACGTGGCTCACGCTCGAGCGAGGCCGAGTGATCGGCGGTGGCAGCATGCAGCTGTGGAGGCGGCACGGGGTCGTTGTCGATGGAGCTAGGTCGGACGGCAGCCATGCCGAGAGACGTAGAAACGGTAGCCGCGGGACGAAGAACCGAATCAGCCAACGGATGATGTTGCGCCGATTGAGATGTCTGCACAGTATTTTTAATAGCAAAAGGATAAACTGTTTTATCAAACCTTACATGCCTACACACATAAACCTTGTTAATCTGTAAGTTCATGCATCTATGCCCCCGAAACGACTCAGGATAACCTAGGAAAACACACGGGGAGGGCAACATACCCCCTCCACATTGAATTTTGAAAGGAATGTGATTCCCTCACAATTCTTAAATTATCTAAGATTCTCATGCATATTTATTATTTTTGCTATTATAATTATAATTATAATTATATATATATATATATATATATATATATATATATATATATATATATATATTATTTTTTATTATGTAATGTTAACTTCTAAAGAAATTTTTATTTTTATTGAGTACTATTGACTCTATTACAATGCAGTATATGTTCATAACTACATTTTCAACCTACTGAAACACAAAGAGTCCATACCCACCACCGGGATTTGATCCTGTGATCTTCCCTCAAGGAGTGTCATAGAGGTGTCATCCGAACACAAGGTGCTTGGCAAGAAATTTTAATTTGTTTCTCAAGTTCAAACTTCTAGTTTCACATGTACTTATATATTACTTAAATACTAGTTTTAAAATCATGTACTTATATATGTTAGCAATTGTCAAATATTAACACTTAATGTTAAAATCATAGTTATATTAAAATATTTTATAAAGATTAGTATATAAATTAAAAAATTATAATTGTATAATCATATTTGACATCTATTTTTACATATCTCGCATAAAAAAGACTAGTATTTCAATAAGTGGCCCAAGTCAATCACATTAAATGAGATCATTTTGTTCAAGTCAAGATTTGTTATATGTTTTTACTTTAATGGAAAATATTGCAAGACGTGGTGGTGATATTATTGCTAATGATACACCCTTCTCCAAAAAGGTTGAATCTCAACTCCAAGGGCCTTCACATCTTGACTTGACAGAGCATTTGGGAGGATGTAAATCATGGTGACTCAATAGCTTAACAGACATGCCAAATGTCGGTACGCACAAGGGATCTGGCCACTTTGGGCATAATTCTCATACTATCGCTGTCCAGGTTCGAATCTTGGTCTCTTCTCCCAAATATTGCCTACTGAACCAGTGAACTAAGCCCGTGCGAGCTGCTAATGATACACCCTCTTATGGAGTCAAGGCCGGATTTTAGGCTGTGCAAGCTGGGCTAACGCACAGGACCCCAAATTTTAGACGTCCAATATTTAATTTTTACCTAACTAGTTTAAAAATAAAAATTAAAAGTTTTCAATTGAACTTAAAAGGTTTTATGAAGAGATGGTAAGAATGTGTATTTATTGTATTATAACTTGGAGGTCAAAGGTTTAAAACTTCATGTATTAATTTTAAAAATTGTTATTTCGGTAGGGCCACATTTATTTACCAGAACAGGGCCACCAAAACTTAAAATACGGCCCTGTATGGAGTTATGGTTGACCAAAAAAAACTTGACCCTAATAAAGACCCATACTATCACTGTCCAAGTTCGAATCTTGGTCTCTTCTCCCAAATACTGCCTACTGAACCAGTGAACTAAGCCCGTGCGAGCTGCTAATGATACACCCTCTTATGGAGTTATGGTTGACCAAAAAAAACTTGACCCTAATAAAGACTAATTAATAACCGTTTACGCATCAACAAGCGTGAAAATCAACAGTCATAATTACTCCATCTGTCTCATTTTATCTGTCATACTTATAACTTCCTATTCATTAGTCAAACTAACTCTTTTTGTTTTTTTTTTTTTGCTTATTTTCTTTAGTATTTTTTTATTTTTAGATTTAAGTTTGTGTGTTTAATAGTACTTTAAATATAGTTTTTAAATATATAAACTTTATATACTATACTAAACTTAATATTATGAAAATTTGAATTAAATATAATTTCAGTCAAGCCTCGTTAATCGAACCAGACACATAAAATGAGACGGGAGTACTATTTAATGTTTTTGTGACAAAGTTTCCGGCAAATTATTGTTGGACCATGGTCCACACAATGTTATGTGGACCATAATAAAATGTACATTTTTAATATACTAAATGTACATTATTTTTGTACTGAATGTACATTATACAATATAATATACACTCAGAACAAAAATAATGTATATCCCCTGAATATAATGTACATTATTTTTGTATTGAATGTACATTATTTTTGTACTGAACGTACATTATTTTACAGTAGACAAAATATGGTCTACACAATTTGTATGGACCAATAATGATTGTTAATTTCCAACCCTGGCTAAAATGTTTTAATCACATCCAACCAAGTCAAATTTGTGTTATAAAATTCTTTTTGGCAACTTGAGTGATTGGGTGGTTATTAATAGATTTCAAAACTCTGGGCGAAATTAAAGTTTTCTTTTTCTTCCTTGATCTTGACACATAATAGCTCCATTCTTTTTCTCCCTTTGTCGCTCTCCAAATGACAATTACAAAGTTGGTCCCGCGACAAGAAAAAATTTAAAAGGAAGAGGAGGATATTGAATATAATAGACTTATTTCACTCAGGGCTGAGATTGTTAGACTGTTATAGTTCTTCAAAATTGACAACTACATATGTTAGATGGTTAGTTGAGTACATAGCCGAAGGAATATAAAAGAGTAGTCTTGCAAGCAAAAGAAAACCACAGGCCCGAGAACTATCCATCGTCTAATATTAATCAACTTAAATGATTCAATTCAAATTTGATATATAATTAAGTTCCACCATCAAGGGATAAGAAGAATTACAAAGTCTTCGACTACTACGTACAATTGGGACGTTCAACAAATAAGTTTGTAATTATATCATTATTGTGGGGAGAACCAATTAAGATGCCTTAGAGATAAAAACTTCAATTTTCTGCCAAGTTGATAGAGAAAATAATAATGCTTTGAGCCTTTGTCCTTTGGTACACGGTCTAGTGGGGTATAAGCTAAGGAGACTTAGAGATACAAGTCTTTGATGACAAATGACAACTAATTATAGAAAACTCACCATAAGAATTGTGAAGCCTAACATAAGCTCCTTCTATATATATTGCTCCCATAAACAAAACTCTAAGCACTTGCCAAAGATTATATTCACTACGATACATTCAACCCACCCACCATGAAACATAATACTTTTAATAATAATATTATGCTGCTGCTTGTTTTTCTTCTATTCATTTGCAATTTTGAGTATTGTTACTCAAATAATGCTAGCTGCATTGAAGTGGAACGAGTTGCTCTTTTAAAGTTCAAGGAGAGCCTAATCGATAGATCAAATCGTCTCTCCTCATGGACCGGTCTTGATTGCTGTGCATGGGAAGGAGTTTTTTGTGGCTCCGTAACTGGTCATGTTTGGAAGCTTGACTTACATAACCCAGTTACACTTACAACATATGATGATGATGATGATGATGTTTGGTCCGGAGTTTTGTCAAACTATATCAACAACTGCTTGAGAGGTGAGATCACTCATTCTCTAATCAACTTGACATATTTGAGTTACCTTGATTTAAGCTTCAACAATTTCTCTGAGATCCAAATTCCTGAATTCTTGGGATCTTTTAAAAACTTGAGGTATCTTAACCTCGCAAACTCGGGTTTTGTGGGAAACATTCCCCCTCATCTTGGGAATCTTTCGAGGCTAGAGTATCTCCACCTTGGATCTGTTGCGACTTGGTTTTATTCATTGATTGCAAGTGACTTGGTTACAAATAACTTGGATTGGTTGGCCAGCCTTTCTTCTCTAAAAAGCCTTGACATGTCTACAGTTTTCATTCAACGAAGTGAAAATTTGTTTGGCACAATCAATAAACTTGTATCTCTCTCTTCTTTAAACTTGGCTTCTTGTCACCTTAACATTACCAATCCTCCTTCTTTACTTGTTAATTCCACTTCTCTCATCTCCCTGAATCTCGAAGATAATACATTGGATACCATGACCCTTCTATGGTTATCTAATCTCACAAGACTTGAGCATCTCAATCTAGCTCAAAACCATTTTAGTTATAGCTTCAATTCTTCACTGTTATTTCCATTTTTGTGTAAGCTCCTCAATTTGGTTTCCATGGATCTCAGTTGGAATAATTTTCAAGGTTTGATTCCTCATTGCCTTGGAAATTTGACTTCTTTAACCTCTCTTCAGTTAGGATATAATAACTTTGAAGGTTCAATTCCAAGTAGTATCAGTCATCTTTGTAGATTGCAAAGTCTAGATTTATCTTCTAATAATGAACTAAGTGGGTCATTGATAGATTTCTTAGGGGCTCCATGTGAGTGCCTTTCACATAGTTTGCAAATGTTATCCTTAGATTCCAACCATTTTACGGGTCAACTACCAAATCAGTTATACAAATATAAAAATTTGAAGAGACTTTCTCTCTCTTCAAATTCCCTCTCTGGTCCCATACCAGATTCACTTGGAAATTTGTCAATGTTGTCTTTCATAGATATTTCTGAAAATAAGTTCAATGGTAGCATTCCCACAAGTCTTGGACAACTTTCAAACCTTCAAACTTTATATATATACGAAAATTCCTTCCAGGGCATTCTCTCCGAATCACATTTTTCAGAACTTACCAATCTCAAACAATTGGTAATATATGAAAATTCATTATTTCTTGATGTAAGCTCCAACTGGATTCCTCCTTTTCAATTGGAAGACATTCACATGGGTTCAATCAAAGTTGGCCCTCACTTTCCACAATGGCTTCGTACCCAAACAAAAGTTCATATCCTATGCATGTCCAATGCAAGCATCTCAGATACTATCCCTGATTGGTTTGGAAATTTTTTCTGGACTTGCAATGATATTGATCTCTCTAAAAATGATATTAGAGGAGAAATCCCCATGAGTGTTGAAGTTGGTTACATGAATGAATTCAAGCAAGGTTGGATCTATCTTTCCGACAATCATTTGAGTGGTGAAATTCCAAAGTGGTTATGCAATTTAAAACGTTTAGAGATCCTTGATATTTCTTCAAATAAGTTATCTGGAGAAATACCTTCGTGCTTTGGAGAGCTACAAGAGTTGGAATTTTTAGATTTGGGGAATAACTGTTTATATGGTAACATTCCAAATTCATTGGGATCTCTAAGTAACCTCTTCTCTCTGCATTTGCAGAACAACAAATTTGAAGGGGGACTCCCTTCAAGCTTGCACAATTTAGGAAGCTTGATCACCTTGGATTTAAGCGAAAATGGATTAATGGATGTTATTCCCCCTTGGATCGGAGAAAACCTATTGAGTCTCAGGTTTCTTAATTTTAAGAAAAATAAATTCTTTGGAGATATTCCATTGCAATTGTGTTACCTGAATGCTCTTCAGTTGTTGAACTTGGCAAATAACAACATTTCTGGGCATATCCCTCCGTGTTTCAACAACTTCACTGCAATGGTTAATGACTCCATTTCTGGGGATGGTATCAATGACTACGGGTACGTGGAAAACATTTATGAAGATATAAAAGGATTACATTTGCGGTATACTAGAACTCTTCTATTTCTTCGATCCATTGACCTTTCAGGGAATCATATAATTGGAGAGATCCCAACAGAATTAATGTGTTTGCTTTCATTGAATAACCTGAATCTTTCTGTAAATCATTTGAGTGGGAATATTCCTCAGGCTATTGGCAATTTGAGCAAAATTGAATCTCTTGATTTGTCAAGGAATGTGCTCTCCGGTCACATTCCTTTAAGTTTATCGTCTTTGACTGCTCTGAGCTATCTAAATCTATCATTTAACAATTTATATGGAAGAATACCAACAGGACGTCAACTTCAAACCCTCGACGATTCCTCCATTTACATTGGAAATGAAGGACTTTGTGGCACCCCACTTTTGAAGAGCTGCCCTGGTGATGATAAACTGTCGCCGCCATTGGCTAATCAACCTATAGAAACAAAGTTAACCAATGATGATCGTGAGTTTATGATGTGGTTCTACACTGGTATGGGACCTGGTTTCTTTGTTGGATTCATAGGAGTATTATGTACTCTATTGTTCAAGACATCTTGGCGCTATGCATATTTCAAATTTTTGGAGATTGCTTTCAACAAAGTACTATGTGGCATTTCATCAACTAGCTACAGGTTTGTCTTCCATCAAATACTCTCTCTGTCTCATTTTATGTGTTTAGTTCGGTTAACAAAGCTTGACTGATGTTATTTTTAATCCAAATTTTCATAATATTAAATTTAATATTAGTATATAAAATTTATATATTTAGAAACTACACTAAAAATACTATTAAACACAAAAAATTCAAATTTAAAAATAAGTAAAAAATACTAAAAAAAATATAAACAAAGAAGAAAGAGTTGGTTTGACCAATGAATAGTAAGTAAGACAGATAAATTGGGACAGATGGAATACTACTTTAATTTTGTGATTTTTGTCCAATATTAATACAAATTCAATGATTACATATATTATTGAAGTTGTAAATCAGATTTTGACTCTTACGGGGGAATTCATAGGTTTGCATTTGGAATGGTCCTTATTTGTTACTTAATACTAAAACCGTGATAGAACTTATAAAGCAATGTATTTAACAGGGTAGACTGCACATTTTACTTCCTGAGATTCATACTCATAGGTTTGCAAATTTATTTCATCGGTTATATGTTATTTTTAATTGTTCTCTAAAATTGTTGGTTTTAATTTGTCCACATATCACAACAATATAATTGTTAATTCCATCTTAATCTTACATTTGCTTATGTTTTGGTCTCCTTTGTGTAAAATAAAGACAGAGGAAGGTGTAACCTGACACCAAAAATTTTATATATATATATATATATATATATATATATATATATATATATATATGTATATGTATATGTATATGTATATGTATATGTATATGTATATGTATATGTGGGAAAATGGTCAAATAGTCCCCTAAACTTTACACCAAAAGTCAATTAGGCAATTAAATTTTTAAAAGGTGCAATTAAGCCTTAAAACATGTCAAATTGAGACAAAAAGACCCAAGAACAGGCAAATGATCTGTAATAACATGTCACTTCAGATTAGGTGGAATTCAGGCAAAAATTTGACGACCGGTGACGACCGAACCGTCGCCGATCGCCTCCTCCGACAAAAGGCAACCAACTGGTCGCCTTCTCCATGGAAGGCGGAGGTCGCCTTTCCTTGGCGACCACTGCCGAGAAGGCGACCTTAAAGGTCCCTTTCCATGGTGGAGAAGGTGACCAGATCTGGACACCTCCTCCAGGAGAAGGCGACCAGATTTGGTCGACTATCGCCTTCCCTTGGCGACCAACTGGTCGCCTTCCATGGAGAAGGCGACCAGTTGGTCGCCTTTCACCGGAGGCGAACCGTCGCCGATCGCCGGATTTTCACCGAATTTGAAGTGACCTGTTATTACAGGTCATTTATCTGTTCTTGGGCCTCTTTGCCTAAATTTAACATGTTTGAGGGCTTAATTGCACCTTTTAAAGTTTAGGTGTCTAATTAACTATTGGTGTAAAGTGTAAGGGCCTATTTGACCGTTTTATATATATATATATATATATATATATATATATATATATATATATATATATATATATATATATATATATATATATATATATATATATATATATATATATATATATATATATATGGAAGGGTTCAGGTGCGGGTATAGCTTCCCGTGCGGTTGTGCGGTTAGATCTGAACTGTTGATCAAATTTAGATTAACGGCTCAAATCAATAAAAATTAAAAAAAAAAAAAAAAAAAAAAAAACGTGTGTCGGGAAGAAGATACACAGCGTCTACACATAGCGTCTACACAAATGATAGCGTCTGCACAACATCACGCACATTAAGTACAAACTCCACACACATTAAGCACAACCTCACGCACATTAAGCACAAACCCCACGCACTTTAAATATTAACTCACAGATTTTAAGTTTCAACAACTATTGATATTAAACACAACCTCACGCACATTAAGTACAAACCCCACACACATTAAGCACAACCTCACGCACATTAAGCACAAACCCCACGCACTTTAATATATTAACTCACAGATTTTAAGTTTCAACAACTATTGACATTAAGCACAACCTCACGCACATTAAGTACAAACCCCACACACATTAAGCACAACCTCACGCACATTAAGCACAAACCCCACGCACTTTAATATATTAACTCACATATTTTAAGTTTCAACAACTATTGACATTAAGCACAACCTCACGCACATTAAGTACAAACCCCACACACATTAAGCACAACCTCACGCACATTAAGCACAAACCCCACGCACATTAATCACAGATCCGCTCACCTTAATTTTGACCTACATGCAAAAATTATAAAATTGCCACCGCGTTTTTTTTTTAAATTTTGACAATTCTGGATGTTGATTTAAGCGAGATGAATGGTCCAGATTAAACCGCACAACCGCACATGGGCACTCTAACCGCACCAGAACCTAATTCTATATATATATATATATATATATATATATATATATATATATATATATATATATATATATATATATATATATATATATATATATATATATATATATATATATATATATATATATATGGATGCACTCAGGTGCGAATAAGTGTTCAGGAGGGAAATGCGAACGAATCAACGGGCGACACGTGTCCAGATCTAATAACTTAAAAAAAAATGCGGTGGCATTTTCGTAAATAATTAAACATCAAAGTGCAAGTAAAATCACTTACAAGTGCACCTACTTTCACCTATAAGTGCATGTAATTTTGCCTTGTTAGCATTCACTTTCCGGAAGCATTCATGCACTTGGGTGTGCTTATAACTCTATGTGCAACTATTTATAACTATAGGTGCAACTACTTATAACAATAGGTGCACATACTTTCACTTATAAGTGCATATAATTTTGTCTTGTTAACATTCATTGATCTGAGTTCAGCGGGTAGTAATACCCTTGAAAATCACTCGCAAACATTCATACACCTGGGTGCAACTACTTATAACTATTTGTGCAACTACTTAGAACTATAGGTGCAACTACTTAGAACTATAGGTGCAACTAAGTATTGATGCTCAGTGTAAATTTTTACTTGCACCTATAATACATTTTACATGCACTTGTAATACATTTTACTTGCACTTCGATGTTCAATTATTTACGAAAATACCACCGCGTTTTTTTAAAATCAGTGTTTCTCATCCATTAGATCTGGACACGTGGACGGACAGAATTCATTCATATTTCGCGCCTGGGCGAGCCGTTCGCACCCGAGTGCAACTATATATATATATATATATATATATATATATATATATATATATATATATATATATATATATATATATATATATATATATATATATATATATATATATATATATATATATATATATATATATATATATAACTAGTCAATTTTATTAGGCGTAAATACTTTTAAATATTTTTATTTTTAATATTTTTAATAAAATAATAAGCAGTGGGCATATGCATTGAGAAAGAAAAGGTGAATTTTTAAAAAATCAAACCGTTGCAGGTTGGGAGTGAGCGGGTGGTAAATGTAGCCACCTCCGACCTTTATTACCATCACTATATGTACACAAAGCCTAATTAAGTGATATTTATATGTTACTCACTCTTCTTTTTAATAACATATTTTGCAGGCGGCGTTAATGGCGATGAGGGGTTCCTTTGCGATAAACGTATTTGTTGCTTTTGTATGTACTTCTTGCAATATATGTTGCGGTAGTAATATGATGCTTTAGTATTTTGTAATAATTTGCCACATAATGGATTCTCAATATGTTCTCGATATATTTGTTGGTCGGTGTTTGTCTTAAACCATGTCATTTATAATTATAGTTGATTTTGATATCATGATGTTATTTTTATAACAAGGTGTTTGATAAATGGTGTATCAATTAATTTTAAGAAAATTATAATTTATGCCCCTTACAAATTTTCCAATTATCAATGTTACCCCTGAATTATTAGTGTTGTAAATGTTGCCCCTCAATTTTTGAAACCTTACATATATTGCACATTTTCTGAATTATTAGTGGTGTAAATGTGGTTACCCGTCATTTTTCATGTAACCACATTTTTTTCTTCCATTCTTCTTCCTTCATTTGTTCTCTTTCCGCCAACAACTATGTTTCTCATTCTTCTTATTATGGGAGGTGCAATATATGTCACGTTTTGAAAATTGAGGGGCACATTTACACCACTAATAATTTATGTGCGACATTGATAGTTGGCTTATTTGTGAGGGACATAAATTACAATCTTCCCATTAATTTTTAACAAATGTATTCGACTTTAAATTAGCAGTTTGAGGATTGGTGTTAAATAAAAATTAGAACGCTTTCTCGCCAGTTGCCATACCAAAGAGGAAGGCTTCTAATCCGTTTCTCTTGAATTACTAGAAATGACCTTGATAATTATTTATGTCGGGCCACTGAGAGGGTGTTGCCGTGTTGGTAAAATTTAATAAAGGAAAAATTGTAAAAAAATGTCCCTCTATAATATGCCAATTATCAATGTCACCCTTAAATTATGAGTGGTGTAAATGTTGCCCTCAATTATTAAAACGGTACACATATAGCCTATCCCGTAACGGACATGTGGTTCTCCGTTAGTGTACGACACCATTAAGTCAGAGTAAATATATAATTTAGTTGTTTTTTCCCACCCTCGATTCGAAGTACCAGCGATGAATAGCGGTGGGGAACCACAGGTTCGTTACGGGAGGGGCTATATGTGCACCATTTTGATAAGTGAGGGGCAACATTTATACCACTCATAATTCAGGGGTGACATTAATAATTGACATATTATAGAGGAGCATTTTTTACAATTTTCCTTTTAGTAAAATATGGACATTGCATTGAAGAGAAAACTAGATTTTCCAAACTCATGGAAGTAAATAGCATTCTTGCCATTTGAATTTAAAATTCAAATTTATAACCCACTTCAATCTTAAACTAACACCAATTAAAACAATTAAAAACATTAGCTTGTCTGGTTTTTCATGTAAGATTATTATAATACGTATTGAATGATTTAATCAATATTTTAATAGGAAGCATTGAAATACTGACTTGAGTCTATGGAGATTGATGAAGTCCTTTAATTTTTTCTTCACCACTTCTTGTTTTACGTTCACATAATATTTTCTCCCTGGTCTTTGACGTTTAGTTTTCACTGGTGATATGATAGAAAATTGTCTATGTACGTACTTATATGTAAGGTTAACCTAACTGATATTCCAATATTAATATTGGATAATGGCAATAATGGATCATAAACCCATACATTTGAATATGCAATAAGTAGACTTAAATAGCCTATTTTTTGGGAAACATGGAAGGGCAGAGCCCCATGAAAAACAAAACAAGGGAGCTAGTCTCCATGAACACAAGGGACCCCGGTCCTATCACTAAGGGAGCTAGTGGTATTTCCCTAGCTCGGGAGTAGAAGGGATGTTCATGATGCTTGATAAGTTACCTGCAAGAGAGGGGAACACGTTAGAGGAAACAAAGAGTTGAGACTTAAGATGACTTACCTTTTGACTCGAGCAGGAGCAGAAATTATAGAGGCATTCCTTAATAATGTTTACTTGTTCAACAGTGGCCTCTCCAAATAAAATTATGTCATCAGCGAAACAAAGATGGGAGAGGAGGGGACCATTCCTGGATACTCTAATCCCTTTCCATCTCCCTTCATTGATAAAACCTTGAATCATGTGGCAGAGGCGCTCCATACAAAGGACAAAAAGAAAGGGGGTGATAGGGTTTCCTTGGCGAATACCCCGACCCGATTAAGTTTAAAGAAATCAGCCCTCTCACCCTCCCACAAAATGGATAACCGAGTAGTACTAACTAACACAAGACATGATATTCCTAGTCCACTCCGGATTGAAGTTAGCTTCCTGAAGAGTGTCTTGGATAAAATCCCAAGAGAGCGTGTTGTAGGCTTTCTCAAGATCAATTTTAACAAGCATGTACCCTTTCTTGCCTTTGCATTTCCTCATGTAGTTAAGGACTTCTTGGTGGATAATGATGTTGTCCGAGATTTGCCTACCTGGAACGAAACTGCTTTGAAACGGTCCAACCAAACTCAGGTAATAATTAGTATTGCGATCTCTAGAAGCGATCCACAATTCTATAGACTTCTGGAACCAATTTAATTCCTCCTGATACAGCACCTCCTCAAGTCTGATGAGGCCACTTTCCCTCTTGACCTCAAGTCTTTTCTGAACACCAGCTAATCGGGCAAGAAGTCTTTTTTTTTTTACGACCAATCTCTCCGAAGACCTCTCTTTTCCAATTGCACTATATAATATTTAATGTTCTAATTTAAATAATTATATATCAATTCAAATATTTTTAATATATTATAACAAATCCATTCCATGCATCGCACGGGCGAAAATACTAGTACAGATAATATAGCAGACAAGTAAAGTGGAGAAAATTGTGCACCAGAGCTTTTCATTAATAACGGTTCCTATATATACAACTGGAAATAACCGTACATGTAAACATATATAAATATAGGGAAGAGTGGGATAATAGTCATAAATTGAAATATTTATAACACCCCCTTTGCCATTAACGATCCATACTCATTCCTCATTAACAAAAAAAAAAAAAAAAAAAAAAAATCTCACTAGAAAAATCATGTGGGAAAAGCATAGTCGAGGAAAAAAGTACACATACATAGTATGTGAAATCATGCATGTTTTATATCAGTTGTCTCGTTAAAAACCTTAGTCTAATACAAACCTAGTTGAAAAAAAACTTAGCTAAGGGGAAAAGAGTACAACCATAAGCCTTCAAGGCATAATATTCAGGATCAGTTATGTAAATTCAAGTGTGTCTAGACATTGCCGCTCCCCCTGAAGGCAACAACCTTGCAAGCCTACGCATCCAAATTTTATGAACATATTTTTCGAAAGTGGATGTAGGTAAAGACTTAGTGAACAAATATGTCAAATTGTCACTAGAACAAATTTTCTCAATAAGGATTTACCGCTCTTCTAGAGTCATGCGGGTAAAAGAGCTTAGACGCAATGTGTTTTGTAAGGTTGCCCTTAAAATACCCACTACTCATCTATGCAACACATGTCGCATTGTCCTTAGGGACGGAGCCAGAAAATATGTTGAGGGGGGGCAAAGAAGTAAGGATGGATTCAATGGCGGATTCAGAAATTTTTTTTAGTGAGAGAAAAAAATTAAAATAAAAGAGAAAGTTTAAAAAAAATGAAATACTTAAAAAGTATAACAATAAATATTGTTGGATATAGCGAAAAATAAAACATATTAAAACTTTATAAAAATATTTATAACAAAATATGAAACATAATTAATTTGATAAAACAATTCGAATATAACACATTATAAATTACACATTCCATTATTAATATAAAGAAAATTATAATGGAAGTTATATATATCATGGCAAAATTTAATTGTGTTAATCAAAAAAGCGAAGAAGACTGTGACATTATCAATGGAAAGACTTGAACCCAGGCCAATCCGAAACTCATACACATTAGCTACCACCTTGTTTATCACAGCTTTTGTTTACATAATCGGTTTTATAATACTTATATCAAGAATGTACTATATATACATATTATATACAATATAGGGTAGGGGTGGGGTGGGGTGGGGGGGGCAGCTGACCCCTGCCCCCCCTCTGGCTCCGTCTATGATTGTCCTCATACATGATAGTGGGGGTGTCGAGTTCGCTCGCTATACCACACGAGCTATGGATATGATGTTTCAATGACCTCAGCCATACAACTCCCGTGAGGCCTCATATAAAGCAATGATCTCAAATGATTAGACAAGGTAGCAACTAGGGCCTGTTTAATGAACCTTCAAAAATTAACATATATTCGATAAATGCTAGGGCCTGTTTAATGAACCTTCAAAAATTAACATATATTCGATAAATGCTAAGGCCTAAGGGTACTGAGTTAATTATTAAAGATGCTTTATTATACCCTTACTCTAAATGTATCTTGCTAAGTTTAAAAGATATTCGATCAAATGATTTCCATATTGAAACCAAAACTATGAATAATCAAGAGTACTTAATCATCACTTAGTTGATTACTGGTCATAAGCAAGAGGTTGGGGAACCTGCTTCTTTATCTTTTGAGTTATATTATACTTGCAGACGACCCAGTAGTCCATGTGTTACACTAATCATGAAATTCAAATATCCATATTCTTTTCAATTATGACATGACCAGTTAGGTCATCCTAGGCAATGATGGGCCAAAACAATTGAAGTGGTCAAGGTAACCCAAAAGAGTAACTCAAGTGGCAAATGAGCTCTCTTTGTGGGGAAAAATTCTGGATAATCCGGGTTCAATTCTCACAAGTGACAATTCCCTTTGAGCCAGCTCCCGTGTCTCCCGGAACAAACGAGGATTAGTCGGGTGAACCTGAACCGTTAAACAGACAGAGAAAAATTCCTGACTACCTTGTGGTTTACACCCAAAAAAAAAAATTGAAGTGGTCAAGGTAAATTGAGAAAAAGACTAGCCAAGCGGTACACTAAGATTTAACAAGTCAATCATGACAAGGTAGTTTGTCAGTTTTAACAACACTATTAGAATTTGAGTTAACGTAGCCACTTTGGTTATAAATGAAGAACAAAAAGTAATGATGCTAATTATTGGGGGATAAGGCTAATTATCTTCTTCTTCTTCTTTTTTTTTTTTTTTTTTGTATTTATGAAATGGGGCTTATTTTTATCACCTTTTAAAAAAATGGTCTAGTGAAAATGGGTCTCCTTTAATCACTAGGGCGAAAAGTCATTAGCTTACTATATAGCTTTATGATTCTGAAAAGAAAGGTAGCAAGCAGTAAATGGAAGACATTTTATTCGCCCGCATGTAGAAAAAATGACAAATGACAACATAGGTTTACAGTTTCTCTACACCTCAAGTCATATTTGGAGTAGCATATAGCCATATAATCCATACCAGTAAAGATTGGATAATTGACAATTCCCAGCTCTTCTGCATGCAATTGCAATCACTGCATGATATCCTTCTCTGGAACAAGCCTAGACTCATGCTCCATGCAGATCGAAGTACAATAAATGGACTTAATTTCACCCGGAGAGGATGCATTCAATGACCCCATGTTTTGTATCAGAAAAAAATTGCAGATTTTTTAGCTTCTCTACCTCCAAATTATTCCTAAACAAGCCCACGACTCTACATTCTCTCCATAAATTATTCTCTGGAGCGCTCAGACATTTCCAGGTAAATGTCCAAGAGCAATGTGAATCTGCATCCATGAGAAGGAACTGTTTTAGGGGGCTCACTTTGTTGAAGGGTGCGGTGGACATTTTCAAGCCCAAAGAAGCCCATCAAAACCGAATTCAGAGTTAGATTCTGCACTATCCCCGAATTCTTGCTGATCCACTGCATCATTTTGTCCTATTGAGTCCACATATGGTCCCATAAGATCGGAAGATCTTTCAGATGGAATGCCATAGTCTTTAAGGATGCTAGTGGATGTAGTTAAAGCTGCCTCCCTTTCCAAGACGACCAAAAAGTTGTCCGCAAATTCAAAAACTAGATATTTATCCTTGCAAGCTGTGCAAAGGCAGAATGATGAGCATGGGACAAAAGAAGGAAAACGGAAGGGTGATTAGTACATATACAATACTTACAATCAAGTAGATGAGCCAAATGGTGGATGTTTCTAATTCGTTTGCCATTCAACTTCAAGATCTGCAAATTGATTTCACATAATTACACCGGCCGGTTTACACAAGTGTGAGTAAAATATATACTTACCTGCTCATTACTTATGTCTTCATATCCAATGTTTACTTCATTTGCTAAAACCTGTGGCATTATAAACAATTAAAAATTCAAATTCTTTGCATAACCGACCCCTTAGCATCTCCCTAAGCTATGTTTCTATTTCTTTTTATTTTATTTCTTTTCTTTAATGAACCATATGGATTCCCATTTACATTAACGTAATAGAAAGGTCATATGTATGAATACTCACACATAAACTTAGAGTGAAAAAGAGAAGCATGCATGGGTAACTCAACTGGTCACAGAGATGAAATTTGTCACAAGAGATCAAGGATCGAGTCTCACCAGCGGCAGTGTGAGAGCAACCTCTCAAAATGAGAGGGGTTCCTTGTGCACAGTGAGCAAAATCTAGTCTCTGTTGATCAGTTGAGTCACCATGATTTACCCCTCGACAATTCTGTCGGGCCGAGGTGGGGTGGGCGATTCCACCTTTTTGTCACAAGAGTGAAAAAGAGAACTGAAACCACTAACTATATAAACTGCTATGCTATGCTACATTTGTCCCCTTGGAAGTCTGCCTATACCTGTGATAGGACCACAATCTGTTCACCTTTGAAATTTGCAAAAGAATACCGTGCCTTTGTCAATAGTTTTAGCTGACCAAAAGGAAAACAAATAACCAGTCAGAGAATGCAAATGTGTTTTTATGATACTAAAGCAGTCATCCTCTACTTAGAGCTTACCCCTATGCTGTCTTCACATTCTTCCCTGCGAAATTATGCATTTTCGTTAGCATCAAGGATTCATAAAGAAAAAACAAACACCAAACATCTAACTTGACATACTGTATTAATGGTTCAGACAGTGGAGTAAACACCAATCCAGCAACAATCAAGTATGAAGGCTGGCCTCCTTCAATATGATATGGAACCTAAAGATGATAGCAAACATGTCCAGATCAATACTATGGGATTTCAAGTCAGGGTTTTCCAACAAGGAACTAAGACTTTCACCTATATCAAAAGATACATCATTTACATACCAAATCTACACGAGGACTCAAAACTATTTGAACTTTCATAAATTCCCCCGCTCGAATAATACCAAGTTCTGCAGTATCACCTGAAAACCTGAGTTGTAAACACTTTCATAAGTTTCATAAAATAACCTGAGAAGAAATTGATGGTAAGCCAGTTGTCAAGGTCATGATTATAGTTTAGTGTTTAGGGTTTAGCTTTATTGTCACTTTCGGTACAATAAGTTACTCAGTCCATATATTCTTGCAAATTAAGTGCAATTAGCTTATCCTACACACATCAAATCACCTTTGAAAAAGTATACCAACACACTTAAACTTTCCCACATTATTTTACTTAGAAACCCTAGATGAACTCCCATATATTGTCCAGAGCAAACTGAATACAAAAATAGGAAGAGCACTAGCCCAATACAAAATTCAATGGATAAGATTTCACTTTTCAGCAGGATTCAAATCCTTTCTTATCAGACATGCCTTTCAGGTGAACATGACCTGATGACCTAAATAGGATTCTGACATTTTTTTAGAGATAAGCTTCCACCCTTTGCATTAAAAGTACTTGTTTCCTAAATCCTAAATAGGTAACAGTTCATGTTAAAAATATTTGCAAGTAATAAAAATTTACTTTCGACTGATCAAGTAGCGAAATGCTATTCGCTCAGTTGACCGGAAGGGCACAGTTCCTTCACACCCAACACGAACATCATCAAAGCTTACGATCACATCCCCCTGAAAAAGAATATACATTTTAAAATGAAGGCAAATTATTCTGTGGACCCGGGTCCAAAAATACAAAATTTATATACTGAATGTTCACAATTTACATACTGAATGTTCACAATTTACATACTGAATGTTCACAATTTGGTATACTAAATGTTCACAATTCAAATTGTGAACATTCAGTTTATAAATTGTGTATTTTGACCCGGGTCCACCTTGCAAGGTGGACCCGAGTCCATGGCATAACTGTTGTAAAATGAAGCACCCAAAGCCAAAAGTCTGTAAAATTTGTACAGTGGGCTAACATTCAAAATATCAACAAAAGTTAACCTACATAAAGAGTGCTTGGTAAAAAACATGACTACTAAGATCACTTAATGATAATGCAATTTGCACTCTTGTCTAAGACCCATTAGCCCATATCAGCCAAGTTAGCCACAAATTTGAAGATTCATTTCTCCTTGGCAATATGAGTTGTGTTAGTTTAAGAACGAACCCACGGTCCATAACTCTGTAGTACACCTAACAATAAAATAAGAGAAAATTGTACTTTTGGTCGCCGAGTTATAAGGTAATAGCAAACTCAATTTCTGTGTTATAAGCATCACCACTTTTAGTACCCAAATTGTCAACAAAGTGGCACTTTCAGTCCCTTAATTAACAGATTTGTAAAAATTTACCCTTACTCTTCAAGAACCCTAATTAATCAAGGTTATTGTTAGATGAATAAGTTGCTCGGCTTAAATGGCGCTTGGTGGCCAAAGGGTATGCACAGATTTATGGAGTTGATTATACGGAGACCTTTTCTCCGGTTGCCAAGTTAACTTCTGTACGGGTTTTTATTTCTCTAGCTGTTATTAATGGTTGGCCGTTATACCAGTTAGATGTCAAAAATGCCTGTTTACATGGTGATTTGGCGGAAGAAGTGTATATGGAACAACCACCTGGTTTGTTGCTCAGGGGGAGAATGGGAAGGTTTGTAAGCTGAAGAAGTCGTTGTTGGGTTAAAATAGTCTCCTATATTGTGGTTTGGGAGATTCAGTGGTGTACTTACTGCGTTTGGCATGCAACGTAGTGCCTATGATCACACTGTTTTTTATAAACACTCTAACCGTGGCAGTATTTTGTTAATTGTCTATGTTGATGATACGTGGGGAATCGAGGCGCTCAAATCTTTTCTTAAAGAGAAGTTCCATACGAAAGATCTGGGAGCGTCGAAGTACTTCCTTGGGATTGAGGTTGTACGTTCTAAAAGAGGCATATTTCTTTCACAACGAAAATATGTGCTAGATTTACTTTAAGAATCTGGGCTCTTAAAGTCGAAGCCATGTGAGACTCCTATGGACCAGAGTGTTAAGCTTGTAGCTAGTGAGGGGGGGGCCTCTTGAAGATCCAGAGCGGTATAGGAGACTAGTGGGAAAGTTAAATTACCTTACAATCACTCGTCCGGACATTGCCTTTCCGGTAAGTGTGGTGAGCCAGTTCATGGCACCCCCTACAAAATCTCATTGGAAAGCTGCAGTTCGAATTGTAAAATATTTGAAGAGTGCCAATCATGGGCATGTGAGTGTTGAGGCCTTCTCTGGTGCTGATTGGGCTGGGTCATCGAGTGACAGGAGGTCGACAAGAGGATATTGTGTGTTCCTTGGTGGCAATCTAGTGTCTTGGAAGAGTAAGAAGCAGAGTGTTGTGTCCCGCTCTAATGCAGAATCTGAGTATAGAGCGACGGCCCATGTGGCCTGTGAGGTGACGTGGTTGTGTAATGTTCTTGGGGAGATTGGTGTAGAGGTGAATAAACCAGTTCCTTTGTGGCAGGGTTATCTAGGCGTCGCCTAGGCGCTGCCTAGGCGTCTGGGCAGTCACAGCCTTGCGCCTAGACCGCTCGCCTCGCCTAAGTGCAAAATACAACCCAAAACCCCACAAAACATACATGGGCAGAACCTACACACTAAGGCGAGTTGACCGGTGCAATTTTCAGCCGGAGAAGACGCCGGAATCTGCCTCACGCGCCGGCGCGTGGCGTCGGAGCAGCGGCACGGCGGCGGCGCGTGGAGGCTCCGATGGCGGCGTGGTTCGAGCTCCGCGTCGTCCTCCTGTTCTGAGCAAAGCCCACTACCTCACCCTGACATGTTATCAATAAATACTAACTTCTCACTACTCTAGGAAAAACTATTCATCTTCTCAAAGATGACTGAAGTAAATAGGGTTCAAAAAGGCTTCCCAAGACAAGATATTTCCAATATATACAATAAATACTAAACTTCTCATTATTCTAGGAAAAACTATTCATCTACTAAAGGCAACTTGAAGTAAATAGGCTGCCCAAGACAAGATATTTTCAATATATATGTATATATTTTATATATTTTATTTATTTAATAGTCATCGCCTAGGTGGTCGCCTAGTCGACTAGTCGACTAGGCAGTTGGTGGCATCTCGCCTAGAAAGTCCGCCTTGATAACCTTGCTTTGTGGTGTGACAATAAAGCTGCTATACACATTTCGAATAATCATGTGTTTCATGAGCGCACTAAACATATTGTCACTTTGTGCGGGACAAGATTCACTTTGTGCGCACTCTACTGTTCATGTTCGAACCGGTGATCAGCTAGCAGATCTGTTTACAAATGGTCTTAGTAGGGCCGGGGTTGAGTATATTTGTAACAAGTTGGGCATGATTGACATCTATGCTCCAACTTGAGGGAGAGTGTTAGATGAATAAGGGGGAGTGTTATTCTTAATTCTTCTGTTTCCTCCTAAATTGCACTCTAACAAACTCCACAACTTAGTGGCCAGAAACACAAGCCACTAACCTCCAATACACTAATTTATTTTATTGCACATTAGTGTAATGAAGGTCAGTAGTCGACATTTCTGTATTTCTGGCCACTAATTCGTGAAGTTGGTGTATTATTTAAGAAGAAAAAGAGAAAATAAGAGGTGAAATTCAATTAATAGCCCTAGCCAACTAGAATATTGAAGAATAGTAAATTTTAATAGACTTATTAATAGAGAGATCGAAGGTGCTACTTCGTAGACAACTCAGAGACAAAAGGTGGTGATGTGTCCGCTTACATCTTATAACTTGGGGACCAAAAGTGCAAATTTTCTGTAAAATAACTCAACTATCACAAAAATCTCATTTCAACAATGCTATTTAGTCACTTTTTGAAGGACAATTAAAAGGAATATATAATACTTTGGAACTGTGTCATAAAAGGTAGAACTTTCAGATATGACCTTTTGATTTTACATTTTCTTAATTAAACAAATATAAAAGACAGAAGGCTGACTCTAGTGCAATGGTAACAAGGGCTTGTGGCGGGCAAATGATCCGGGTGTGGAACATGTGGTTCTCATTCCTCCCCCATCACTAATAATCAGAAGGAAAAGGAGAAGATAAAGAATAAACTACAGGAAGGTTAGAGGTTGGAAAAAGTCAAACTCTTAATTATTAACTACAGTTAAAGATTGCAGCTTTTGTCAATAAGCGAAAATTTTAACCAATAATAAGTGCCAGATGAAACAACTTTAACTGTAATACAACAAAATGGTGCATGCAACTGCAGGTGATCATGTAAAGAGTATATCCACATTAGTTCAACACTGAGTTCTTAAAATTGTAGACAGCAAAATAGCAATTAGCAAATACCTCCTTTAAGGTATTATGGGCATCAGAAGTGGGTTCAACTTTCCTGATGAGTACACCCTGAAAAAAAAAATCCCTTATTGAGCCTTTAAACAATAATAATTTTATAAAGGTTGTATTCAAAGATATGAAAAATATGATTACATCAAGCTCTCTTCACCCTGGTGCAGGATAATTTACTATTTCATGAAGAGAATATATAAAAATGATTGAATTGTCATTTGAAACCTTATTGAACAAAGAAAGCACTAATTGCCTCCAAATTCCTCGGTTCCTCCTATTCTCATATTCAATATCATTTTTATTTTTATTGGTTTGTTCTCATCTTCTCACACAATGACAATTTTCTCTTCAGCTAGGGGCCATACAAATAGAGAAAGGTATTGTAATCTTGCAAAATTACTCTCCTATTCATGTTTTCCATTGTGAGGCAGAGAGGAACAATTGCACTTATTAAGTTCAAGAAAAGAGGCACATCCCCTACTTACCATACAAACATAAAAGTAAAGTAGACTGTAGAATATATATATATATATATATATATATATATATATATATATATATATATATATATATAGAATCGCACTCAGGTGCGAATGCTTCGCCCAAGCGCAAAATAGGAATGAATTCTGTTCGTCCACGTGTCCAGATCTAATGGATGAGAAACACTGATTTTTTTTAAAAACGCGGTGGCATTTTCGTAAATAATTGAACATCGAAGTACAAGTAAAATGTATTACAAGTGCATGTAAAATGTATTATAGGTGCAAGTAAAAATTTACACTGAGCATCAATACTTAGTTGCACCTATAGTTCTAAGTAGTTGCACAGATAGTTATAAGTAGTTGCACCTAGGTGTATGAATGTTTGCGACTGGTTTTCAGGGGTATTACTACCCGCTGAACTCAGATCAATGAATGTTAACAAGGCAAAATTACATGCACTTATAGGTGAAAGTAGGTGCACCTATAGTTATAAGTAGTTGCACCTATAGTTATAAATAGTTGCACATATAGTTATAAGCACACCCAGGTGCATGAATGTTTGCGGAAAGTGAATGCTAACAAGGCAAAATTACATGCACTTATAGGTGAAAGTAGGTGCACCTATAGTTATAAGTAGTTGCACCTATAGTTATAAATAGTTGCACATATAGTTATAAGCACACCCAAGTGCATGAATGTTTGCGGAAAGTGAATGCTAACAAGGCAAAATTACATGCACTTATAGGTGAAAGTAGGTGCACTTGTAAGTGATTTTACTTGCACTTCGATGTTCAATTATTTACGAAAATGCCACCGCGTTTTTTTTTAAGTTATTAAATCTGGACACGTGTCGCGCGCTGATTCGTTCGTATTTCCCTCCTGAGCACTTATTCGCACCTGAGTGCATCCCTATATATATATATATATATATATATATATATATATATATATATATATATATATATATATATAGGACATTAGTTGTATGCTATTAGGAGCAGATTTTATTCCCTAGAATACTGTAATTATTCTGTTTCCCAGAATAGAGCTAGGTAATTTTGTTAGTTTCCTTTTTTCTTTCTCTATTATTGTATTCTATATTATGGAGTATAATCAATAAGGATCACAGTTTTTCTTCCAATTCTTTTTAATATTATCAGAGCTAGGTTCTAAGACCTAATTCCTGCAACTCTTTATCATCATCCCTACCAACGAGCAAACCTCTTCCTCATCAGAAATAACCTCTGTTCCTGCCCCATTACCTAACCCTAATCTAGGCACATCTGATTGTAGCCACTTCCCATCACCAGCCACAAATTGACTGGTCACAACTACCTCCAGTGGTCTCAATCAGTGATGATGTAAGTTTGTGGGAAAGGTAAATAAAACTATCTCACTGGTGATGGAGCCCCTTCAAGCAAACATGATGCAACCTACAATACATGGAAGGCAGAGAACAATATGGTCATGTCATGGCTAATCAACTCCATGGCCAATGAAATCAGTGAAAATTTCCTCTATTCAACAGCTCAAGAAATCTGGGAAGCAGCAAAAGAAACCTTCTCTAGCAGTGAAAATACAGCTGGGTTATTTGCTGTAGAGTATGCTTCAGGAACACAAAGAAGGCAACTCCTATGTCTACTTCACCAATCTCACAAGATGTTGGCAGCAACTCGACCTTCATGAGATTTATGATGGAAGTGTACCACTGATGAAACCAAGTTCAAAAAGATTGTTGAGACTAAGAGGGTATTCAAGTTTCTTCTTGGCTTAAATCAATCTATTGATGAAGTGTGCGGACGTATACTTGCTATGAAACCATTACCACAATTAGAACAGCCTTTTCTGAAGTCCGTAGAGAGGAGAGTCGAGAAAAGTGATGCTGGGACAGCCAAGCACAATTCAATCCAATGAAAATTCTGCCCTTATTGTACGAGGCTCTCTGCCCACCTTTGAAGATGTTCCTGCACATGCAAACACTGTCTGAGGGCCACCACCACAGGCAAATGACAATAGATCACATCGAGGAAGACCTTGGTGTGACCACTCTTGTCGACCAGGTCATACCAAAGAAACTTGGTGGAAGATACATGGCAAACCTGCTGATTGGAAGCCTTCTCATTCTAATAATGATCGTGAGAGTCGAGGCAACATAGCCTCCTTTGATCGAAGTAATGTTCCTTCAACATCAAGCCCTTTCAGCAAAGAACAAATGGATGCACTTCAAAAGCTGATCAGTCAAGCATATCAAAGAAACTGCTATTATTGAAGAAGCCCTACAAGAACCACAATGGAAGGCTGCTACCTATGAAGAAATTAGAGCACTTAAGAAAACCTAGACATGGCAGATTACTGATCTTCCTCCAGGAAAGAGTGCAGTGGGGTGAAAGTGGATTTTTTCAGTAAAGCATAAGGCAACTGGAAGTGTGGATAGGTACAAGGCACAATTAGTAGCAAAAGGCTTCACACAATCCTATGGCATTGATTTCCAAGAGACATTTTCACCTGTGGCAAAACTGAAAACCATTCGGGTTCTACTATCAATAGCTGTTGATCAGGATTGGCCATTACTTCAGCTTGATGTGAAAAATGCCTTCCTAAATGGATACCTTGAACTCTTGAAGATGAGGTTTATATGGATATTCCACCCAGCTTTGAGGACAAGTCTACTCTTAACAAAGTCTGCAAGCTGAAGAAATCATTATATGGCCTAAAGCAATCTCCTAGAGCTTGGTTTGACAGATTTGCTCAAGTCCTCAAAGGTAATGGTTACAGTCAATGCCAATCTGATCACCTTTTGTGAAGCATGCTACTAATGGAAGAATTACAGTTCCTATTATCTATGTTGATCACATAGTTCTCACAGGCAATCATGAAGACGAAATGAATCTGCTAAAGGAATTACTCTCCAAGGATTTGAGATCAAACAACTTGGTCAACTGAAGTATTTTCAAGGAATTTGAGATCAAACAACTTGGTTATCTGAAGTATTTTCTTGGCATGGAGGTGGTTAGATCTAGTGAGGGAATTTCTTTTTCACAGAGAAAGTATGTGCTAGATCTTCTCAAGGAGACAGGTATGCTAGGCTGCAAACCTTTTGACACAACAACGGACCCTAAGACCAAGCTAGAAAATCAGAAAGAAAGCATTGTGGTGGACAAAGGTAACTATCAAGTAGGGGTGAGCAAGGATCCGCCAAATCTGCTCTCATCCAATCCTTATCCACTTAATGTGGATGGGATGCGGATGTAACTTCTCAAAATCCAGTATATCTAATCCACTCTGCTAATCTGCTACCATATATTACACTATTAGGAGCAGATTTTATTCCTTAGAATAGTGTAATATTCTGTTACCCAGAATAGAGCTAGATAATTTTGTTAGTTTCCTTTTCTCTTTCTCTATTATTGTATTATTATATATTATGGTGTATAATCAATAAGGATCACAATTTTTCTTCTCATTCTTTCTACTTAAGACAAATAACCATGATAGACTTCATGTTTCTATTTCTACTTCCTCTGATGAAATATCCTATTCTCATTGTGACCTTTTTCCGCGTTACCTAACAACCGGGTTACCTAACACGATTCCCTATAATGCCTCATATAGCTACAATAAAGCTATAATATGGACTTCATCCTATCAGGTGACAGCAACTTCCTTTTCTACCTTCATATATCTCCCCTCAACCAAAAAACAATTTGTCACTGCAAATTTGACTACAAGGATAAAAAATCCTAGCTCCTTATCAAAACAGGGAAAAGCAATGAACAGATTTTACATTAATAGCACAGCTCAAAGGACATCTCCAAATGAATAGAACTATAGAAGAAACCAGTTGATCAAATCAACAAATACATACTTCATTAGATGGAACTTTTAAGCAGGCACGTAATGCTGGATTCTCTAGCTTTTGCAACAAAACTCCAAGACTAGGGAAACCTGAAAAATTAATGTCCAAATAGAGGTTTATTAAAAAGTTTTGAACAACTCTATGAAAGTCAATAAAAGTTTATTAAAATCTATCATTTTAAAAGTCTTTAAAAGTCTACAAAAGTCATGATTGAATACACCCCCCTAATTGTTTGCTCATTCTCTCAATCCAGTTTATTTAACAGAATTAAATTTTATACATCGTAAAGAGGTCACAAATGAAATGTGGCTTTACAAATATACAAAATCATAACAACGTTGGCAGAACACCCGAAGCCATAGTTGTTAATAGATGAGGCACTTCTTTATTCATGACAAACAAGCTAGTTGTCTAGGAGGGAAGCATACGGATGTACTAGCATCTAACAAAGAAGATTAAAAGGAATTACACGAAGAAAAGAAATTAATTATTTAAAATAAAATTATTAAAAATAATAATAATAATAATAATAATAACTCTCTCTCTCTCTCATTAGGACAACACATCTAGACAATTAAGATTGTTCCAATATTTATTATAAAAAGTAATAATTATAATTCAACAATTTAAAGACAGAATAGAAGCTTCCATGAATAGAAAAGAAAAGTTTCATTACATGGAGATCGAAATCTGTGTTCAACAGCTTGATATTTAGAGGGATAATAAACAATCATGATGTATTAAACTCACTGCATATTGTAAGAACCATTCTAACTCAGATAAATAAAACTCCATATAAAAATACATAGATTGAACTCCAACAGGGAGATGTAGTTCTTCAGTCTAGTTTACATCAAATAATTTTATAAAGAAAACTTACCTGTGTACTTCCCATTCCTCTCATAGTCTTGTAGAAAATGGGACACAACAGTGGTTGGGATAACATATCCAATATTCTCAACCTCATCTGATCTGTAAACCTAAGGATAGTATCTTGTAAAAACATAGATGATGGATAAACAGCAAGCAATTCAGGAAACCAGGATTAAAGATATAAAATCTTGAATCATCAAGTTAGTAGCAGTGACAATGATGACTGAGATTGTGCTCAAAACTTTAAAATAATGCTACAAAGCAAATAACAAGCTATTGCAGACCTTGGGACAAAACAAACAGCATTCCTAAAGGACCTAAACATTGGCAAGGAACTACCTGAAATGCAACACCTATGCACTCTCCATCATCATTGAATGCAGGACCACCACTGTTACCTAAAATTCCAGCAAGTAGATCCAGAGACTTGTCAAGTTAGAAAATGCAGTAACACAATAAGCCCATTTAAATGGGACAACAGAACCTTTTTCTTCAGCATGCTAGCTTTCAATGCCACCTACCAGGATTTACTGCTGCATCAATTTGAATACCCAACAACTCAGATGATCCATGAGCATATGAGGTAACCTGATTGCAATTGCTAATCAAAGAGTTAGCATGTGTATTTATCATAATGGTATATGCTTATATGGAGTCAACATTGGAGGGAGAAGTATATAATTTGCTGGAGTATATTATATTCTATAAGTAAATCTATTCCTAAGCCGCTAAGCATATAGTCTAACCAAGAAATGAATACAACAGTTCTGTCAGAAATGCTTATTCATTCCAAAAATGTAATGACAACAAATGAAACAAAACCACAGAGGATAGCAAACCTCAATTCTGGAAACCACCCCCTTAGTCACAGAAATTGTATCTCCTCCAAGCGGATATCCTACAACAGTTACTGCATCCTGCAAACAGAGTAAAGAGTCAGCATAATAAGCTGATAGATATAAGCCAATAGATAAAACATTTTTATAACCCAAAGATAGTAAAAGATCTTAGCCCATGGCCCAATCCCTATTCATCAATCCACTCTCATTCTGTAAAAGTCTAATTCCCAAGCCAATTCTGTCTCTAAAGCTGGCATGACCCTCAGTTCACCCCACCACCCTCATCACCCTAATAATGATCATGGTGATGATACACCAACAAAATGACCCATCTCCAGCCAAGAGTGTTTAATAATTCAGAAGTTAGACCAGCATAAACAAAAATAATGAATGTTCTAAAGGAAATAGACCATCATATGCACAGTTATTACAACTGCCACTTAGTTTATGAAAAATGATTAATGAGAATTACCTGCAACCGGGGCAAGTGTCCAAACTGAAGTGGCTCAGCTCCCTTCCAGAATTCCTCGCTTTCTACAGAAAGCAATGCAATGTCACACTCAACTCCTCTAGCTAAAACCTGATTAAATCCATCAATTACAATAAAATTAAGAACATAAAAAAGGCTGCTGGTGAAAAAAACAAAGAAACAAAGATTCAGTCCACTCGAGATTAGTGAAATAGCAGGCAACCTATTCAATTTAACATAAGAAACAGCCATATGTGACATTTTGGGTACTGTCCAGAATTAGCTCTCAGCCAAAGTCCAAAGAGCTTGGTGGAATCCGGCTACTGCTTGGGATACCCCAAGCCTGCAACCAGCCCAAGAAACCCCCAAAAATGCAAACACTGATGTCAAATTATGTCTTGGTTAGTTAAGTCAAAGAATTGACTAAGTCTTAAAAAGAAAAATAAAAAATAAAATGCTACCCAAAACACCTAGTTATCCCCTTCAGACATGAATCTCATGGTGACGGAGCAACAGAAGATTATACAAGTGAGAACTGCATATCTATCCATGAGAGAAATACCTTAGCAACATATTTGGTATCATCTCCTCTTCTCTTCACTTTGACCTGCAACCAAAATTGCAATATTGCAATTGAGCCAAGCACATTTAACTACCATTAATAATTTCTGTTGTTCCTTTAGGTAAATTTATTTTTAAGAGTGAAAGAAATAATAATTATAAAAAATAGCATTAAATACAGTAAATGTCCTGAATAAAATTGAACAATGCTTCTTATTCACCATTATCTCCAAGGAGCGTTTTTTTTTAAAATAGGGTATGCAGAGAGATCAAAAGAAGAGAGTCAGAGACTGTCACTGAAAGAAGGATTTCCTTAAAGTAATTAAACCAAAGTACTCAAATACAAATAGTACAAATTATAAATACCTGTGTATCATGCTCAACACAATGAGCATTTGTTAAAAGTTTTCCATCCCCAATCATGAAAGCACTGCAAAGATTAAATAAAATGGAATTATAAGCTTTTTGCATCTAATAGTATGCTGGTTAAAGTAAATTTGTAAATATAAAAATAGGATAATTGTTAAAAAGGAAACATTTTACCTCCTTTTCCATATTTACACATCATATGATTAATCTTATTTCTAATGTTTAAAGAAATTTTGTAAAAGGAAAAGACAACATGCCTTCCTGTACTTGTATATTGTCTTTGTTTCTGCCAAGGAAGAGAGTAATCGGGAGCAGTGTGTGTACAGTAGACCTTGATAGAATTGAAAAAAAGATTGCCACAACAAACTAGAAATTAGTCTGTGATCAAACACTTTCTTCTCAGCCATCAGCATGCATGCAGTTATATTTGGCATTACGCAAGGCAAATATAATTGAGAGGAAACGAGAATTCTGTGAGAACTGGCAACTTAGATAGCATCTTTATTGAAGAGTATGTCTACCTTCACAACAGCATTCAGAAAATTTGCATCTTGAAGATTACCAGTTTCCACCTGGAAAACATTGGTAGTGGAACTTAGGTAGACATGAACACTATAACATTTAATTTTAAGTTTTAAGAGTACGTTCAAAACACTAAGATCATAAGCATTAATAAACTTTTCAAATAGGATCAAGACAGGTTAAAAATCTGATGATTCCCCACGAAGAAAAATACTACATGCCATAGAAAAGGGTGGACAAGTTACGAAGATCGTCTTTCTTAACTAGAAATTAGCAGCAGCCATCATCATTCTCTGTTTCACAAGGTTAGAAGAGATAAAATGGGCACAAGAATCATAAAGATAAAGTAGATTCTATGTCTTTACCTGCAACTCCTTTGAGTCAAACTGAACTCCCTTCCCTTTTCTTTGCACGCCAAATGATTTAAATGATGTTGATTGAGACCTCCCATTCTTATTTGTATTTCTGTCATCTACATTTGAAAAAAACCTTTCACCTTTTGATCTCCTCGTACACTTCTGCGTAACAGCTTCTCTCTGAATTCATCCCCTTTTCTCATTTAATATAACATTCATTTAAAAAAAAAAAAAAAAAAAAAAAAAAAAAAAAAATTGAAAGAAAGAAAAGCAACTCTTTGTGCATTATGTTGAATTTGAAAGATCCAAAGGCCGGGCGGGTGGAGAATAACAACCACCCGCCAGTTAGGCGGAGGCAGAGATGAAGAATCAAGGAATGAGAAAATGTATATAATACTGAAAAATTACAATATATTACTATAATTCTATGTTTCTAACGAAGAAACATAGTACATATATCTATAATACTGAAAGATTACAGTATATTACTATAATTCTATGTTTCTAATGAAGAAACATAGTACATATATGTTAATTTAAGCACCTAACCCTATGTCCCTATAGACGGACATAACCCTTTGTTTTTCAACACATTACAAATATAATGCTTAGATGCTTTTAATTTCTAGAAACTTGAAAAAGTAATGTACAGACAAGTAGGAATTATGATGCATAAATTACAGATTCCAGCTGAATGTTCTCCACTCCAATAACTTAAAAGGTTATATATAATTGAAATCATAAAGTATGAGCTTGTGCATTTGTAGATACAAACGTTTGAACACTATCATTGATTTAACTTTCCAACAATATAAGATGAATAAGAGCACTAACAAAGAAAATGCAGATAACAACTCGAACGACCCTGAAAGCTAGTAAATAAAGGCCATACTCAATACAACACACAATTTGAGTTCAACTTAACTAACCTCACTGCAGTAAGAACCAATAAAATATAAAAGTATAGCAATAATCAATAAAATGGTGAACATAGAACAAAAAGAACCGGTAAAGACTAGAGATTCGGATCTCGAGTATACCTCTGTGTGAGATACACGAGCTGGAGGTTTTTTCCTTTGGTTATGTTCCTGATTTTGACTTTGAGTTGCGGATTTAGGAACAAAGAAACGGGAGGGTGGTCGGGAAGTGGCGAAGAGTGGTTGAGAGGATAGAGAGCAGCGGCAAGTGGCGGTGGAGGAGAGCGCCGTGAACCAGAAAGCAGCGGCTGCGACGGCCATTAAGCGGGTTTAGAGAGTGAGAGGAGTGATAGTGGTTGTAGCAGCAGCAATGAGGAAGGAAATCGATTGTTTCCCCTTATCCTATGTCTTCCCGAGTTGGCGCCTCTTCTCCCACCGTCGGATTCGGATTAGATATAAACTTTTACCAATCCTGGTTACTATGAATTATTGAGAATGAATTAGGTGAAAATAAATGTGTAAAAACAAAAATTCTAATTGAAGTATTAGTTTGGTCTCAATTTAAAGTTTAAATAGATAGTTAGATTATATATTTATTTATATTCTCAAAATATAACCTTTTATAGGTGGTTGTTTATGATACCAAATTATGAAATCTGTTTTGAACTAAACGTATGTTTGATTTATGTAATATGTCAGTAATGGAATAACATTTTTGAAAATAGACGTATTTCATTGTTTGTTTTGATCATTTTTCTTAAGAATAGCATTTCTAGGAAGGAATCCTTTTGCATGAGGAATAACCATTCCCAGGTCTCAGGTATTAGTTATTCTCATACTCTTGAAAATAGCTTTTGTATTACAACATCAAAAATATCATTTACATACATGATATATATATATATATATATATATATATATATATATATCTTTCTATCTCACCCTCATACACACACACACACACAAAGGCCATTCCCATATTCTCGGGAATAGCTTTATTATTATTATTATTATTATATTTTATATAAGGGTATTTATGTCTTTTAAAACATATTTAATTTCTATTCATTTAATCAACCAAACAATGGAATACAATTCATAAAGTCTACTCCTTCAATAAACCAAACAATAGAATACAATTCTTGAGGTTCCCCTTAGTTTTGCCACTTTTTCCACCATGGAAAAAGTGGCATGAGAGCGTTGAGGTTCCTATAAAAGCAGCCCCAAGGCTCCAATTTAAACATTAAGCTTGCTCACAGCTTGCCTTTCCGTTGATGGGCAAGCAATGAGCCAGCTAAACTGACCCTTGTCATTCAAGGAGTCAAAATGAAATCGTTATACCCTGCACCACGGCGTGCGCAGCACTGTGCGCCCCGCGCCTACCAAAACGACGTCGTTTTTAGAGGCGCGGAAGGAAGTTGACGTGATTATGTGTATTTGCTTATACCATTATGTGTATTTGTTTATACAATTATGTATATTTTTTTTATACAGTTATGTGTGTTTGTTTATACAATTATGTGTATTTGTTTATACAATTATGTGAATTTTTTATACAGTTATGTAAAATGACGTCGTTTTGCATCAGAGCGCACAATGCAATGGGCGTCCTGGTGCACGATATAAATCGCCGTCAAAATGACTCCATAGTAAATGCTTTTTTTTTTTTTAATACAGAGGCATTTTGCGGAAATCATTCTACAAAACGCTAAATAAAAACGTTGTAAATTGCAGTGTTTGTATTTTTAGTGATTGCTTCAAACTGCTGAATAACCAAAAATTTTTTTTTAGCATTTTGGCCTTTGGCTTGCATCATATTTACCAACCTTACAATATCTTTGGGTTACATTATATTTAAAAACTAGTATTTATCCCGTGCGATGCACGGAAAATATGTTATAAAAATATACCCTATATGAGATTTATTCATATATAAAATTTTTGTTATTTAATAATTATTATGTGTGAATTCCTATGATAAAATTATGAACATAAATATATTTACAATTAAAATAATATTTAAGGTGGGTGATTGCTACAAATCTTAAACTATATTAAAAATTTAGTACATAGTATTTAATATTACAAATTTTTAAGAACTTAGTAAACTACAATAATAATTGAATTACAATTTTAGAGTCGCCACGAATCAAAAATTTTAGACCTTTGAAATTTTTAACTCTAGATGTAGCAACATACAATTGACCTTTAAAGACCAAACAATCACAATCTTAGTTCGAACATTGATTTTTTCTTCCAAATACTATCGAATTAAGTGTGTAATCAATAAAAGCTGAGAACTAATCATTCGAGAATATAATCTTAATGTTACTAAGCCTACTTCACGTCAATTAAGTTGAAGAGTGTTGTTGGATAGTATCCGATGAATCCACGAATAACGCATCTTTGTCTCCGTAGTCCTCGATATGCACATCAACAATCTTAAATATTAGGCCGCCTAGCTATGCTATATATTAATTTCAAACTTATGGACTTTGGGGTTGCACGTGTGGTGTGCATGCATGCTTCTTAAAGCCATATGGTCTTGTGAAAATTAAATGTTGTTAATACCAACATTTAACCATTAATATCAACATTTAATTTTCACAAGACCATATGGCTTTATTATAATTAAGATTTTAAATTTTTATTACTTCATCGTCTAAACTCTTTAAATTAGGAATTTCTTTATCCATAATTATTCATTCAACAATAATGGTTGAACTAAATGAACACTGAGCAAAATTCCTAAAGGACTGGTACCGTTGATTCATTCATTGATTTTGTATGTGCATTCATTAAATATATTAGAATCATTCGCAACAAAAATATTTGGTTACTATTTAAAAAAAGTTTATGTACAAAGTGGAAAACAATTTTACTCAAAGGTTAGTATCAATTCAATGATTTTTTTTTTTTTTAAATAAAACATACACACACACACCATCAATATTTGGACTACTTGTTATTATTGTTATTATCAAGTAAACAAGTTATGAAAATAAAACAAGACGTACTATTCAAGAACATTATACAAATATAATAAATAATAATATTTTATTCAATACTTCCACATGAAACATGTAGGGGAAAAAGCTATCACTGCAAAATATCAACATGCGCTTGCAAGATCAAGAGTTCATAGTACAACTAAGATCCAGTCATATACACAACAAGAAAAATACACAGCTTCTTACACCATAATCTCATTGCATGACGTTGTCATCTATGCTACTAACCGTAACCAATTGCAAATAACACACTACCAACAAAAAAAAAAAGAAGATGACAAATAGTGAAGATGATGAAGACAATGACAATGTTACTCAAAATAGAATTAAGAATACTTAGAAAAATTCAAACCAAAAGTAGTATTTATTTAGACTACCGTTTTTAGACTAAGTAGTTAGACTATCGATTTTATAAAGTTACAAACATTTATTTTAGTGACAATTATAATGAATCTCTTATATTATCTTGTATTCGTATACTTTGAGTTATATATTTAAATAAACAAATTCGACATTCAATTACTTATGTATGAAATTCTCATATATAATCTTTTATTGATATACTTTCAATACTTATTTAATTATAAATATTGGGCATTAACTCATTCGCGTAATGCGCGTGTAAAACTAGTATATATATGAGTTAATTCTAAATTTTTTGTCTTAGATTTATAATTGTCATTTCACTTTTAGTCTCTATTTTAATAACATCCCATGTTGGTCCTAGTATTATTGTAACATGACTATTTTTGGTCCTCTGTCAAAGCTAGTCTTAGAAAACTTCATATATCTCAACAATTGAAAGCGGTTAGCAAGACTCAAGTTAAATTTACCACAAAAAAAAAAAAAAAAAAAAAAAAAAAAAAAAAAAAAAAAACTATATATTGACCGCAATAAGTCTAAGAAAAAAAAATTAATTCAAAGGGGCATTCCGAGAATTAAACTTAGGACCTCTTGCACCCTAAGCAAGAATCATACCACTAGACCAAATGCCCTCATTTGTTAAATTTGTTGAAAGCTATTAGCAAGGCTCAAGTTAAGTTTACCAAAAATAAAAAATAAAAAAATCTATTGATAGCACCAAGTCTGAGGACGACACCATAATCAGTTGATCTTCTATTTGGGGCATTCCGAGAATTAAACTTGGGACCTCTTGCACCTTAAGCGAGAATCATACCACTAGAACATTTCGATAATTAACTCTTAAGATTTTAACATTGGGTATTAATATTGGGCATGTATTTTTCACATCGCCATATAAAATACCAGTATATATATATGAGTTAATTATAACTTTTTATCTTAGATTTATAATTGTCATTTCACTTTTAGTCTTTGTTTTAAGAACATCTCATGTTGGTCCTAGTATTATTGTAAACTAGTAATTCACCCGCGCGATGCACGGGGAAAAATTATGTTATTATAAATATAAATAAAAAAAATTAGAAAAAATAAAAATATTTTAAATTGTTTAATATAATAATATTTTTGAGCTTCCATTGGTCAAATATTTATTATTTTTATAGAATACAAAATTATAATTAAAATTTTGTATGGTTAATATAATCTCTAATTATGTACATATTCAAATAAACTTATAGAGAGAATTTACATAATTACACTGATTTATTCTTAATTGTATTTCATCTATATTATAATTTTCACAATACGAATAATAACTAAGATAATTACATTTAGAAAGCAAATTTCAAATTTTGTATGAGTAAATTTAAACTCTAATTGAACATATTTTTTTTATATGATTATATAATATATTCTTTATGCACATCTCATTCCATAAACCCAAATGTCATTTTATAAATCCAAGACCACTTTTTGTGGAGATAATTCAAATGTATTTTTTTCTTTTAAAAGTCCTAAGTTTAGACATCCAGAAAAACATTAAAGACCCATACGATATATACATTTATATATATTTAAATTTTTATTTATGGCTTAAATGATTTTTTTTTTTAATTCTGAAGTCCAATAATTGACCCACGGCCCACAACATTTTTATTCCATAATTTTTGTTATGAGCGAGAAAAAAAATAGCTATTTTATTTTTCAAATGTTGTGTTTTTTTTTAATTATATATATATATATATATATATATATATATATATATATATATATATATATATATATATATTAAAAGATGTTGGGACTATTTTATATTTATAGCTAGTAATAATAATAATGTTGGTAATTAATTATAACATTAATTACTTCCCAACCATATAGCTTTATTATATGTAAGATGTAACATGACTATTTTTGGTCCTCTGTCAATGCTAATGATGGCAAAGCTAGTCTTAGAAAACTTCATATATCTCAACAATTGAAAGCGGTTAGCAAGGTTCAAGTTAAATTTACAAAAAAAAAAAATCTATTGATTGCACTAAGTCTAAGAAAAAAAATTAGATTTAT